GGCCTGAGCTAGGGCCATGCCCCCTGTACCTATTTTTCTTAGTCCCAGAGCCCTGAGACCAGTTCCAGGGACTCTGAGGACAGTGGGGGCAGGTAGGAACAGCTTCCTAGAGAATAGGACTTCCCAGGTGGGGGAGGTGTGGTCCTGTGAGGGTGGGGGAGGCACAGTGTGAGCAAGCAGGGGGCTCTGGATGATGTCTTGGGGATGTCAGGGAGGCTGGACTGCAGGGTGCTTCTTCGAAGGACCTGGAGGCTGCAGCCTGCTTATCTGGTTGGGTGGGGGTGATGGGCCAGCCCTTTCAGCAGCAGTCTTCTCTCAGCTTCAGCCGGGCTCTTTCTCTTGCAGCCGGAGTTTTGTGTGGTCGACCCTCGGAGTGACAGCTATGGCTTTTGTGACTGGAGCGCTGGGCTTTTGGGCTCCCAAGTTTTTGTTTGAGGCCCGTGTGCTACATGGGCTGCAACTGCCCTGCTTCCAGGAGCCATGCAGCAGCTGGGACAGGTGAGGGAGGGCAGTGGGGACGCTGAGCACAGCTCTCGGGAGGTGGTGGGGCTCAAACTCTGCCTTTCTGGATATGTGGCATGGTGCGAAGGCCTCATGGCTAGGGACTCAGTTGGCAGGTGGGAGGCCTGCGTTCTCACTCTGGCTGGGCCCTGCCATACTGTGTGACCACAGGTAGCTCTCTTGGGCTCTTTAGATGAAATCCCAGTCGTCTCCTTTTAGGGGCTGCTGTGAGGGACCAGAGGGCATGCTGGGGAAGGAGGCCTTCTGCGGGGCTTGGGAGATGACAGGAGTCTTAGCCAACTGCCCTTTGTCCTTGGAGGAGCTCCTAATTCCTTCTGAAAGGCCGCCCCTTCTTCAGCTTTCAAACTGAGGCACTGGGGCCTTCCTGTGTTTCCGGCTTAGGGCTTTCAGGGATGTGTTCACTGGTTCTCCCAGAGCCCAAGAAAAGCTGCTGGGAAGTGGAAGTTGGCCCTCTGCCCTCAGGGTGCCCACCCCATGTCCTCCTTGCATTCCTTCTGCTCTGCTGGGCTCTTCTTCTATCTCCACCACCTCTGACCCCATGCTCCAAAGGCTCTGGGGCCCCTTGACACTGAGTCAAAGCCATCATTCATCCTTTCTCACTTGTCTCCCCTCCTCCTTGAGGCCTTTGGTCTTAGTCCGTGCTCTCTGCTTGGTAGTTTTCCATGGCCTGTGTCCCCTTGTCTGCCTTGATCCTGCCCTGCTGGATGCTTGGAGTTCCTTAGGGGTCTGTGCCCTTCCCAGAGCCCCATCTTCCCCCAGGGCCTCAGCGGATGACATGGTTCTCTGCCAACCACATACACAGTTTACCTCCTCCTCTCCAGCCTCCCCTTTTATCTCTTTCTTACTCCCCGACACCTAGAGAGAGCTCTGTGTAGTTTCCAGAATGTCCATGGCTTCTCTGTTCCTGGCACCTTTGCTTGGGTCATGGTCTCTGCTCCTAGCTCCCTTCACTTTTCTCATCCTCACTTAACTTTCAGTTTAGTCCATGTCCTAGACCAGGCATTTCAGAGCCCTAAAGGGGTGGGGGACTCTCCTATGCTCCCTGTGTTATAAATGAGGAGATGGAAGATCAAAGAAATCAAGTGTCTTGCTCCGGGTCATGCTGCTAGTTAGAGAGCCTCACTCAAACCCCTGTGGCTTCAGAGCTGCTGCTCAGGAGCCCCATGTGCTATTGCCTCTGGAGACTGCTTGGTGCTCTTATTGACTTGAACACTGCCCCTCAGCTGGCAAGGGCTTGTTGGCACATAGTAGGTGCCCAGGGAAAGCTTTCGAATGGAGGCATGGAGTGAGACTGCAATATTTGCTTGGCTCTCCAACTAGTTGGTTCTCTCCCTGGAGGCCAAGGTGCACTGAGGCCTAGAAACCCTCTATCAGCTGGAAAAAGCAGGGAGGAAACAGAACTCAGCTCCTCTTCTGGCACCAATGGACTGTGCCTTCTTGGTTGAGTCCTTCTCTCTTCTCTGCACTGACCAATGGGATGAACTGAGGGTGTGGCTTCAGTGTCACAACTGATGTACTGAGCTGCCACAGACTTGATGGTTTAAAACAACAAATTTTTTTTCTCACCAATTTGGAGGTTTTAGGGGAACTGAACCAAAGTGTCAGCAGGGCTACATTCCTGCAGGCTCTGTGGGAGAATCAGTTCCTCTTCTTTTCCAGCTTGTGGTGGCTGTGTGCACTCCATGGCTTGTGGCCACATCACTTTTTCGCCTCCCTGGTCACAAAGCCTTCCCCTTCTCTGGCTCGAGTCTCTGCTGCCCACTAATGAGCGCAAGTGTGACTGCGCTGAGGATAATCATTCTGTGTCAAGAGCGTTAGTTGAATTACGTCTTTTTCCATAGAAAAATCTTTGAAATTAGGATATCTTGAGGTGCCTTAATTTACAGAGTAGTAGAGGGACTTCGAGTGGAATTCTGCACAGACTTGATATCCCTTTCATGATTAGGGCAGGCCCAAGGCATGGGTGGGGGCCAGGGCAGGAAGCTACAGAGAGAACTCTCAACTTTGAGAACCAAAGTAGCCCAGCAGAAGGGGCTACTTGGGAGGCAGGGAGCATCCCATTCCTGGGGGTGTGTGAGTGGAGCTGGGATAGCCATTTGCCCCACTGTGTAGGGCAACAGCACAGAACTTACAGACCCTTAAGGCGGCTCTTTTCTCTGAGTGTGATCCTGGGTGGGCCATGGGAGTTGGGGAGGGGCTCAAAAGGCTTAGAGGCTGGGGCTTGTCCTCTGGTCTTGCCTCCTACTCAGGGGTGGTGGGGGCACCGGCCATGCTTCCTGTTTGAATAATCAGTCCTAAGGCTAACAAAGATCTTGAGAACCTGCCAAGGCCAGCTCAGACCAGGACTCAGGCATAACTAACCTTCATCCATTCACCTGCAATTGGGGCCACTTGATCTGGTTGAGCTGGAGGCTTGCTGGGCCTGGAAGGCTGGGAAGCAGTGGTGAGGACTTTTATGTCAGCATATCCTCATACTTCCATCTGGTAGGAGGCTCTGTGGCCTCAGGGGAGTTCCGGCCCTCTCTGGGCTCCTCCACTCTATCTTCTGTATGCGGAGGGCAAGGGATGGATAGGGGATGAGCTCATCAGCTGTTAGCCTGTGGGTCGGACATTTCACAGAGGATACCTAGAGCTGAGGGAGCTGGTTTTTGTGGCACTCGTTTGTCAGTTACATCTTGCACCAATTACATTCTTATAACCTAGTTGGGAATTTATAGTAATGGCAGGGCTTCAGCCATCCCACATGCTTCTGGCCTTGTTTGAGGGGATGTGGGCAGGAGGAGAAGTGTCTGGGGTCGGTGGGACCCCAGACCAAGGGAACAGTGTGGGCCAGGACAGGGAAGCCAGAAGGCAAAGGATGGCTTTAGAGCATTCTCAGTTGTGTGTATAGGCTGGAGGGGGCGGGAGAGGGACAGCCACATAGATCGGTAGGGGCCATGATTGCGGGGCCGTGAGCTTGTGTGGAAAACAACAGGGTGCCACAGGGGGGTGGGGAAGATCCTGGTTGCCTTTGGCTTCCAAGAGCGCACACTGTCGTAGTCTCAGCTGTGCCTCTGAGCTGAGAAAAGTGGTGCCCTAAGGAGGGGCTGCCTGGGTGGGAGTGGAAGGACAGAACTCCAGGAGAGGGCACGCAGAGCTAGAAGAGGTTGGGTATGTTGTGGAGCTCGCATTCAAGTGTCCACTTGTTTCATTCCTCTTAGAAGAGAAGGTCAGGACCAGAGTGATCCTAGAAATAATTCTGATTTCTGAGGGGGGGGCATTTGGGACATGAGAGGGTCAAGATGGTCACTGGAGACGAGGTGGTCTGGGGTGCTGGGTGCAGGGCAGGTCACTCATATGTCCAGCAGCATCCCCAGAATGGGGCAGGCAATGGGATGGGGGGCAGGTGAGTATGTGGGTCTATGATCTGGTTCCTGAGGTCTCAGGAGTATCAGCTGGGGTGGGTTCTAGTTAGGGGCCCACAGCCACATTCTCTGTGGGTACTGGATTATAACCCTAGGCTGTGTCAACTTGGGATTAGAGCCTGGAGGAAGGCCTGACCAAGCCCTCTCTACTCTCTCCCATCAGCTTTATTTTTGGGGCGCTGACTGTTGCGACTGGCATCATCGGTGTCATCCTGGGAGCAGAGGCTGCCAGGAGGTACAAGAAAGTCAACCCCCGGGCTGAACCTCTTCTCTGTGCTTCCAGCCTGCTGGCTTCAGCGCCCTGCCTCTACCTGGCTCTTGTCCTGGCCCCGACAACCCTCGTGGCCTCTTATGTAAGTGAGGGCCCCTTTGGAGGTAGGTGGGGGGCCCTGTCGGTACAGGCAAACATTGTGTTAGGTCTGTGTGTCCGGTACAGTCATCCGGCCTTCTGGACTCTTGTTATCCCCGTTTCACAGATGAGTAAATGGAAGCTTACTCCGAGCTGTGCTTCTAGAAAGGGACAGGCCTGGAGTTGGAACCTTTCTGACAGCACAGTGTGTCCTCTGAGCTCCTGGTTGAGTCTCTAATTTGAGATAATGGGATGCATCTGTGAGCCCAAGGAGACAGGGCAGTGCCCCAGGGGCACAGGTGAGGAGCACAGCAGCAGCCCACACTGGCCCTACTTGCAGGGTGACAGTCACGATAGCAGCAAGTTTCCCAAACCCCTCTCCCATCACATTCCTCCACGTGGTTCACATGCCAACGATCCAGGGACGTGGGCCCCGTAGTACCTGCCAGCTTTTGCTGGTATCTGATCCCTCTACTAAGGTCACCGTCCCCTCTTCTGTGCACCCCCAAATCCTTCTCTTTCTGTAAAACCCATCTCAGAGGCTACCTCTAGAGACCTTCGCCCACTGCCCTGAGCTCACTGTTTCTGTCTGAACTCAGCCTGAGTTTGGACACTGTACAATACCCAAGTGTATGGGGCTGGTTCCAGACAGGCAGCCCAAAAGATGGGGACCAGATCCTGAGTATTTCTGTGTGCAGCAGTGTCCCTGGCTCCCGCAGCCCCAGCCCTCCCTGTTCCCCAAGTGGGAGGGAGCTACTGCTTCTGGGAAGTTCAGCCAAAAGTGGGTGGGTTGGAGCTTCCCTCCCTTCCTCTAGTTCCTTGGCCCTCGGTCTGTCTCTGGTTGTGGGGGGTGCCCCAGCTCTGTGGACTGGGGTACCAGGCTCCCTGATGAGGCTGGACTTGGAGTACAAACTGATGTTAACTTGTTCTCTCTCCAGTTCAGTGGGTCTCCAGCCCATGACCAGGTCTCATAGCCTTTCTAGTCATGCTTGTGGACTAAAGAGTCTGATCTCATTTAAATCACAAGTTTGGCTCTAGTTTTGAATAAAGCTGCCACTCAGGCCCAGAAAATTGCCTTGGGAAGAGGGCAAGCTATCATCTGCTCTAGGCTCCTCCTTCCAGCTTCTGTGCCTTGTGGCACTGAAGCCACTGGTTGCCCCATCCACTGTGATCCTGATGCCTGCAGAGCTGAGTGGTTGGGGAAGGCAGCTGGAAATGGCCAAACATTGCCTAGCTCTGGCGGTTTTTTTGTTTTTTCTGACTGCCAGCAGTATTCTCTATGGCCAGACACTGGTCTTGGGGACACTGATATGTTTGGGGAGCCTCTAACCTGGTTGTGGCATCTCCAGATTTCTTTTTAGCTGGATGCTTTTGCCTCTGGGGCAGTACGGCAGGGCTCTTTATGGCCATCATGTCTCCTGTCCCACTGTCCATTTGCCTCTGGGATAAGCCTAGAAGCCATGTCCACTGCTGCCCTTCCCCCACCACACCCCTGCAGACTGCTCCATCTAGCACCCCACATTTCTACTTCCTCAGGGGCCATGAGCCCCCACGTCCCTGATCCCCAGATCCCTGGATGCCATGTGACCAGTATCGGGGTGCACAGCAGAAATGATGCTCCTCATGTGGCCCTAAGTGTCTAGCCAGGGAGAATGGTTGGTTTGTGTCCTGGCAAGCAGTTATCCCTTCTGGGGAAGGAGGTGCTTGAAGGCCCTCACTCAGTTTAAGGAAGGGCTTCTTCACTGGGTGGCTGAGGCAGGAGGATCACAAGTTTGAGGCCAGCCTGGGCAACTTAGTGGCTTAGCAAGATTCTGTATTAAAAAAAACAAAGCACAACAAACAAAAAAACCCTCCCTACTTTGGAGCCTCCTCCAGGTGAGCTGGTAATCCTGCCCCAAACTGTCCTCAGCCTGGGCCTTCGGCTGAGTGTCCTGGAGGCAAAGGAGGCCTGTCCTGGGTCCCTCCTGCAGGAACCCTCAGCTCTCATGGCCACTGTCATGGGAATGTTGTTCCTTCTCCCACTTGGCAGACTGGAACTCAAAGACCCAGAGAAAGCAGCAGACAAGCAGTGGGACAGACAAAATCCCACCTAGCTGTTAGGATACTCAGTCAGTGTCCTTCATGTAGCACCGATGCTTGCCGCCTGGGCGGGGAGGGGAAGGCCTGCTGCACAGCCGTGCTAGCAAATGTCTTCTCGCTCACTGGATTGGGTGGGTGACTGGGACTGTATTTGCTGGCTGGTGGGAGCTGATGGGGCTGATGGGGCCCCATCTCACCAGGAGACTGAAGTCCGGACAGATGGAGGCCCCATCGAAGGCTTGCTACCCCCACCAGCCAGCTGGGGTATGGACCCCCTGCCAGCTCTACTTCTGCCACTGTCTTGGTTGGCTTTGGGAGGTTGCTTTTTGGCTGTGTTTCGGGGACACAGCTGTCCCCCACCCTGCAGTCTGGCGTATTTCCAGGTCTAGAAATGACATTGCGTCTTGGCCGCCAAAGCCAGCTGGAGGAGCTCCTCTTGGGCCTGTTTGTGTCGGGGGCTGAGGTGCAGGAGGTGGCTGGGCCAGGAGGTACCCTCTCCCAGCTCTGGGCAGGTGCTGCCTGCAGGGCAGCCAGAAGTGCCAAGCCCACAGCCAGCGCTCCGGCCTGCACCTCTTCACTCTGCACCTCCTGGTGCTCTTACGTGTTCTGACTTGAGATCCAGGCTGCGGCTCTCTCCCCCACCCACCATCATTCACACAGCCCTTGTATCTACCCTCTCCTGCCTGTCCCCTCCACCCCACTTGGCTCATGCCCTGCCTTTCCCCAGGCCTGTCCTGAAGCTACTTTCCTGGTCCTTGCCTTCCTGCTTACCTGCCATGCTTGGCTCTCTCCACACAGTCAAGGTGAGCTTTCTAACACCAAGGACCTTCTTTGCTCAAAATCTGTGCATGGCTCCTGGATTTAGGTCCAACTCTACATCATGGCTTTTAAAGCCCCTCCTGCACAGCCCTGACCATCTCACTGACCTCTCTGTCTCTGCAGCCCCCTGCACAGAGCCATGCTAGTTCCTTCCTCCCCACTCCCACAACCCCCTTCTTTGCCGGTTGCCCAGGTCATTCTGGGCTTCAAGGGCCTGCTTGACACCATTTCCCCACATAACCATCCCCGATCACTGACCTGATCCTCTGTCCCCGCCCTGATAGCTCCTTGCTGTTATCTTCCTTGAATTCTTTGGCTCTGAGTCCTCTCCTAACCCCCATCTGGTTCCTGCCTTTTTCTGTACTCAGGCTCCAAGCACAGCATCAGGCACATAGGGGAGGGTGGAAGTAAGTGAAGCCTATTGAGTGAAGTCAAATGAGAAGCTGTTTGTATTCATGTATTCATTCAGCAGACACAGAATTGAGTCAGTGGCATGTCAGTTTCTATGCTGCAGATGTCGCAGTGAGTAAAATAGTCCAAAATATCTCCATCCTTAGGGATCTTACTTCTACTTTGGGAGATGGACAAGCAAGATATGTAAGTAAAATTCACAATGTTTCAGAGAATAAGTGCTTAGGAGAAAAGTAGAGTGTGGAAAGGAAATAGGGAGTGTGAGCACTGGGGGGAGAGGGCTGCAATTTTATATAGTGTGGCCAGAGAGATTATGATGTGTTTTGAGACAGGGTCTTACTATATAGTTCAGGCTGGCCTTAAATTCACAGTGTTCTTCTTTCCTTAGCCTCTTGCTGCAGGCTCGCAAGTGCTGGGATTGCAAGTGTGCAACACCCTGCCCAGCTTTATTGCTATTAGTTTTGTATTCCTGACCATCACACAGGGCCTTTTATGTGCTAGGCCACCACTGAGCTGGGTCTCTAGCCTCAGAGACTTGTTACTGAATGAAGACTTGCAGAAGGTGAAGGAGTGAGTTTTGTGGACTCTCAGGGGCAGGGAGAGTGCTCTAGGAACTGTAGAGCCCTGAGTCAGAAGTGCATCTGGGTGGAAGAGGTGGGGTTAGTGAGGAGAGAGAATGAGAAAGGGAGGTGAGGACAAAGGGGGTGATGGCCAGGTCACATAGAAGCTCTTGGGCCTTGGGTGGTCTTGGCTTTTACTGAGGCCAATTTTGGGGTCTGTGCTAAGAAGCTGGAGGCCTGGCTTTTGTCTTCTGCACCTGTTGAAATGAACATGTGTTTGTCTTTTCGTCTATTACTATAGTGTACTATGATGGACATATGCTTAACCAACCTTGCATTCTTGAGATGTTCCTCCTTGGTCATGATGGGTGTCATTTTTATGTGTGGCTGGATTTGACTTGGTAGGATTTTGTTGAGGATTTTTGTATGTGTGTTCACAAAGGGATGTTAGTGAGATTAGGGATGTTAGTGAGACAGATATAAACATGGATATAGATACAGATTTGCATCTGTTTTCCTGTGGGGGCTTTGGTTTTGGTATAAGAGCAATGGTCTCATAGTTGGTTGGCAAGTTTTCTTTCTTTTTCTCTTTTTTGGATGAGTCAATGGAGGATTTGTGCTAATTCATCTTTAAACATTTGGTAGAATTCATCCATGAAGCCATCTGGTTCTGGGCTTTTGTTTGGAGGAAGTTTTTTTTTTTTTATTACGAACTCACTATTTACTTATTGTAGGTCAGTTCAGATTTTCTGTTTTTCCTGAGTCAACACCAGTAGTTTGCATTTTGTAAAAATTTGTACATTTAATCTGGATTAATATAATTTCCTGACATACAATTGTTTATAATAAGCCTTTTGATTTTTGTGGATAATAATGTCCCTTCTTTCATTCCTGATTTTAGCAATTTGATTCTTTTTTTTTCTTGTTAGTTTAATTGAATGCTCACCAATTTTACTGATCTTTCCTTGTCTTTTCGGTCTCACTACGCAGCATGGGCTCATAGTGATCCTTCTGTTTTCAGCCTTTGCTGTGCTGGGATTACAGACCTGCACCACCGCACCTGGACTGGGCAGCTGGCTCAGTGCTCCCTGGGGGTGGGGCCAGCACAGCGCGCCATAATGAAGCCCGGTCCCTG